CTCGTAGGTAGTTGTCACCCGTACCCAAGAAATTAACCACAAGACGCCCACCCCCCTCACCGGGATCCAGCTCCCCCTCCTGCCGCCTCCCCAAATCCCTCACGCCGCTCCCGGCTTGGTGAGGTGAGAGCCTGGTCCGGTGGGACCCCGGCTTCTCCCGCCCCGGCTTTGTGGGGAGGGGGGGTAAAGGTTAAAAGGATTCCGGATGGCAGGATTTGGGTAACCCCCCCCCCCCCCCCCCGGCCCCCCATCCCCCGTTGCCCCTGCGGGACGGCGGGGGTTCTTGGAGTGGTGCGCACATACAGCAGTAGGTGACACAAGATTTGACACACCCCGGGCCGATTTTCATCGCTCGACTATGCGACAGAAGAGAAGAGAATGTGGCGGGCTCGAAAATGGCGGCGTTGGAACCGTCTCGTCGAGAGTTGTTGCCGAAAACGTACCGTTTGATTTTGGCATCCTCTTCGTCGTGATGGAGAGTGGTCGAGCTTTGAAAGTCGATCTGGGGGGTGCAGTGTCTTGTGTGTCATGCCACCTACGGTAGATCAATCACCCTTTTGGTGGAGAGAGGAAGTCGAAGACGCATGTGATTCTATTGGTCCCCGCGCGTCATCCATCTTTTGTTTTTTCGTCTTCACTTCAAATCAGCCCTCACAGCACTTGTACCGTTTACTCCAACCCGTGTGGTCACACAGAAGGGTTTCCCCCCTACCCACCCCTCCTGCGGTACCTTTGTGCAAGAAACAAAATTCTGAGAGTTGTGCCGCCTCAAGTCCCCAACCGACGGAACCCCCCCCCCCCCCCTGTCTGGACGATGATGCCGGGCGCTCGATCGATCGCTTAGCCTTCACAGGGTGATGTTGATGCGGTCGGGTTTGATTTTTTCGCGGATTACTTGTTGGCATCCTGGTGCACGAACACCCGATGTGTGTGTGCTCGATGCCCACCCCGGCCTACCCGTGGGGGTGCGAAGGGTTTGGTCTGTTGAGTAGGTGAACCCTGCGTCCGCGCTCGTGGTATCGAAGATCGCCCGCCCGCCCACCGTTGTTAGTCTTGCGTGTGCCATTGTACGTTAGGGTTAGCCTGCTGATGCGGCGATGTTGTTGATGTACTGAGTAGAGAGGGCAGACCTTTTCGTTTTTCGGTTCGTGATCCACAAACAAATACGTAAACGAGACCTTAAATCACAACAACAACAACAACATGAGGACGACAACGACGACTATGGCATACAGGTGCTGGGCAAGGCCTTGAGCGGAGGGGTGTACCCGGTGTCGGCGGTCCTTGCGGACGACGAGATCATGCTCACCGTCAAGCCCGGCCAGCACGGCTCCACCTATGGCAAGTTAGCACTGTTATTAGTCTATCCCTTAAACCCCTTGTTTGCGGGGACTGTACCCTGCTTTGGCCCGAAACGGTACTACAGGAGTATGCATGAACATGAGCGTGTACTGTGCCCTCTTTTGGCCGCCGTCTTCAGCTTTTGGGTACGGCGAGCGGGCTGCTGGTTCTCGTCCGGTGCAGAGACGATAATAAGCAGCGACTTGGGAGCATTATTCTTGGTGTCACTTACAACATAAACTGTAACCCTTCCGTGTGCCATGTGTACGGCGGGGTGTGCTTTTTTTTTATGTCGTCACCTATATTCGGACGGCAGCAACCTTACACGTATGTAACTGTACAAGAACGGACATGCCATGCCAATAATCCTACACATTTCCAGGCGGAAACCCGATGGCTTGCCGCGTGGCGACGGCGGCCCTGGAGGTGCTGCGAGAGGAGGGCATGGCGGAGAACGCCTGCCTCATGGGCGAGAGGCTTCGCGCCGGCCTCCGATCGCTGAACGCGCCGGGCGTGGAGCTGATCAGGGGCCGCGGCCTCCTCAATGCCGTCGTCGTAAAGGTAAGGGGGGGGGAAGGGTGGCGTACTCATGTTTTGCATGCCTTAGCGGTTGGACCACGCATCCTCGAGAGGACGGAACATTGTCCCCGCAGGATCGATGGTCAATCGGGGGGGGGGGGGGGGGGTT